TGATGTTAAATTATTTTGATCTATGTATATTACACAACACATCCAAAACTCATCAAAATCATGGCGAAATAGTTGGGTATATTTTCTTGTTAATTGAGCACTGCAAATTCGACATCAAACGATGTCGTCAAAATATTCGACAAATCTAAACGTGCTTTGTCAATATGATAGCGTAGATAAACTTGTATTTGTGGAACGTCGTATCGAGATCCGTGTACATGTATTCAATACAAATCAAACGAACTAACGGATGTAAAGATTGCGTACTGTGAAAACACCGGTATTTTTTCGATAGCTTGTACCGAAGAGCAAGAAAGATAGACGATCGAGCGACGTCGCAACGGAGACGCTCTCGCGCTTTTACATCGCGGACAGAGGTCCTTCGCGTTTCGCGTACGATGGCACAGAGATAGAACATTATATCACAACTTCCGGCGAGAGGTTTTGAGACGCCCGACTCTTCTTCCCGAGAAGTAGTGTCCTCTTCCAGTTCGCTCCGTCGTGCAGAGAAGAACGTGTTCCTGCGATCGCGCGTTCACGGCCTGTGCCGCGTGTGACTTAAGACACGTCGTCGTCACACCGAGACAGAGGATTCCGATTACCAGAAGAGTTCGTAAGCGAGTCTCGACGTGGACGCGGCCGCTGCAGTCGCCGCGGCTGCCGCTGCCGCCGCCACTGCTGATGATGATGACGATGACGCTCCGGGTGGCCAAAGTGGCTGACCCGGAGCCGTGGTTCAATCCTCGTCGTGGTGCCGTGGACTCGCGTCGTAGCCGCCGATCGAGCCGGAATTCTCGGGCGAGAAGTTCATCATGTCCGTGGGCGAGAGACTGTCCTGCGGATAATAGAACGAGGGATGGTCCGAGCTCGGGCCGGCGGCGCCGCCGCCGCCGTTCAGCATCGTCGCCGGCGGCGAGACCGACGGCCGCGCCGACGGGCCGGCGCCCGTGCCCGGGTGATGCTGCGTGCCGGTCAGATCGGCGCTCACCGGTGATAAGAAGTTCATCTCGGTGCCGCCGTCGCGGCACCACAGCTGCCGCATCTCCTGCCGCCGCTGTCGCATTAACGACTTGTACTCGGAGATGCGCATCTTTTTCCCGTCCACGATGCACGTGCGTTTCGGCCGCGGCCGATACCTGTAGTCCGGATGCTTCTCCATGTGCAGCTTCGAGAGCCGCGACTGTTCCTCGTAATACGGCTGCTTCTCCGAGTTCGACATCGACTTCCACCGGGCGCCTGTAACCGTATGAAGAATGCGCGTTAAAGTGGAGAACGTTTCGCGTTCTTTGATGATTATTCATCAAAGTACGTAAATTAAATTAAATTAAATACGTCGAATAATCTGCCATTGTATTCTGCTTGCGAGTCTGCATTTATATTATATATTTTCGAGAGTTTTATATTTAAATTATATATTTAAGTTTTATATTAATTGTAAGTTATATTTATATTTTTAAGTTATATATTAGAATTATATATATTTGAAAAATTTTACATTTGTGTCACATTAACCGGCACTGTAATTATTTGTGATATAAATAATTGATAGACATAATAATGGGTTTAAATATCAACTGCAATCGCTGATGTGGATGATATGGATCGGGTATGCTTACCGAGAATTTTCGATATGTTCGAGTTATGCATGTCTGGGCAGGCTTTCAAGATCTTCCTACGTTCGTCCTTGGCCCACACCATGAATGCGTTCATAGGTCGCTTGATATGTGGCTTGTTCTCACCCTCCCTTTTCTGCTGCCTCACCATTTTAGCTGAAGAGAAAGAGAAAGAGAGACGGGGCGTTAGATGTCACGTCGTCGTCGGGATTCACGATGCTCTCGTGAGAAACGAATCTGATTTCGCGAGGGCGTCACTTGGCGCTCTCAAAACAAGAGCGTAACATCAGTCTAATCGTTACTACATAAAAGTGCTTACCTTTTTCCGTTATGTCTTCCGCTACTTTATATCCCGGATCTCGCCACACTGCAATTTCAAAACCGAATTATATATACGAGACATGCAACGTTAAACGAAAGACTATTGTACACAGTTTATAATACAAACATTATAATAAATGCTATATGTATCTTATAATATTATACTACTCATATTTTTCTAAAAAAGAAAAAGATTTACATAATATAAAATTACAACAATTTTCGTATATTATGTGCGTATTTAATCTCATCTTTCATTCTTGATTTTAATTTGATTTTGACTTGAGTTTATATGGGACACTCTGTCGCGGTCGTTCTTTCCCTGACAGAAAGATTGATTCTACATTTTTGTCAAAGAGTTTACGATATTACATTAAGCGCTCTTTATATTTGTGCAGCCTCGCGATCCGTCTCGATTAACGCGACACGCTCATTTCTCCGCGTCCACTTACTGTGAGGCGTCGAGAGAAAATCCTGCTCTTCCTGAGGCGTCTCCTCCCGAGAGCCAGAATGCTTCATCGGTCTTTGAGTCTGGGCCGACGGTGGCATCCCAGCTGTGTTCGACGGCAATCCGTACAGCCCGTGCATCGCGAAGTGCTTCTCCACGGCCGCGACCGCAGCAGCCGCCACGGCGGATCCTCCGGGTCCGCCGCCCTCGTCTTTGGCCATTACCTTGCTCACTGTAACGGGTTACCGGAGACACGGAATGAGAGACGCGTAATGGAGATACGGTCGGAAGAATTTACGCTTTTAAAAGATATATAGAGTATTGAAAAATGAAGACACACAAGAATATCCTGACTCTTCGCCCAACTTGAAGTCGACATTGCCTTTAGCGAAAATTGTATTTGGCCCTTCATATATTTTCACCAATTCCTTTACGGCCTCTTCAGTTTTAATGTAAAGGAAAGGATCATAATAGTTAAAGCCAGTTAAGGGTGATATTAGAATTTTTTCAAGTGGAAAAAAATAGCGATTTTCTTTGAAAAGAAATAACGAAGTTTGCTATCTTTGATCTTTGTAAAATAAATATTATTTTCAGAATCACGTTTGTGGGAATCTTTTCTCTCTCACACTGATGGATTTTTAATACAATCCCGAAGTTTAGACACGTTTTTCAATATTCCCTATATGTCGCGGACGAAGTGACGCGCGGCGATGGGCACGCGAAGAGTGGCAGAGATTTGCTCTCAACGTTACAATGACGGCCTGCGGATTTTCTTCTTCCCTTCCTCGCTTGTGCGAATCGCGCGCGTCGCGCGGCCCTTATCGGGCGGAATCGCGTTACGCATCGTTGATTATAAGCATGCCGGTACCCGTGGCAAAAACGAGATGGCAAGTGAAACAGGTTCTCCGAGGCGAGTAGCAAGCGTGGAAAAAAAACCTGGCCGCGGACAATCGGGAAAACTAGCCTGCTCGAAGATGATTAAGTGTTCACCTGGTATGAAATCGCATACTCCGGAGGGTACCGACCGTACCCTTTCTCCCTCGGAATCCATTTGCGGCGATCGCCAATTTGCAATTGTTCCGCGAGGGTCGCGAGACGAACTGCGAATCCTGGCAACGCTCGGATCGCGGTAACAGGCGTTACTTTAATCGCGGTAATTCGGATAAATACTTCACGAGCGCTTGGTCGTTTATAATATGCATTTCGCAGAAACACAACGTGGTGAGAGCGCGCACGTATATCGCGCCGAGATAATTCACCGTTGTGAATGGCAACGATATCTCGGAATATCCGCGAAATGTCATTTCGACACGATACTCAACTTCACTGCTCGATATAGGGAAGACCGAGACTATATGGCTCCAGGGGTATGTTGTTCAAGTGCTATTTTTTAGTATTTATTTTGAGAGGAACAGTGGATCAAAAATCGCGAAATGGTTTTTTTTAGAATTTAAAAGAACATTTCGCGATTTTTTATGCACTGTTCTTCTCAAGATAAATATTTAAAAAAATAACACATAAGCGACATACCCCTGGAGCCCCTAATCTTGGCTTTATTCCACGGGGGCTAGCGATTAAAGCGAATGATCGTGAATGTTTCACTCACTCGGCGAAGACAGAGTGCTGAGATGCGGCGGTAGGCCGGCGTAAGGAAGCGTCGGTAGATAATTCCGCGGTATCGGCAGTCCTGGGGGGAAGAGCTTGGGCGCGGTCGCCGCCAACGGCTGCTCCTGCTGGCCGCTACTTCCGGCGCCGGTCGAGTGCGAGTCACTGCCGGGCGACGAGGAGGACGCTGTGGCGCCCGAGGACGTCGATTTCGGTTTCGTGAGGTTCAGCGGGGCGTCGAGATCCTGAAGAGGCGGGGCCGTCGGCGCTACCGCGGATGAGATCGGCGCCGGCGACGACGATTCCTTCTCCATCTGCGTGGTCATCTGCGCCAAATGCGCGGTCGCCCAGCTTGGACCTTCCCGATGGCTGCTGATCATCTGCGAACAAATAAAAAATCTCTCAACGTCAGGCTAACAAGTCGGAATTTCTTGATCGGAATAGCATTAACCCTAGCTTGTCACATTCCGGTCCAGTTGAACATTTTTCGGTTTTCTAGTATTCACATAATAACATAATTTTCTAGTTTCCTTATAATAAGTTTACTTTAAACTCAAATCATTTTCTTCACCTGATATTATCATAAACATCTTATTCAGACTCTGTATTTCCAATTCCTACATTACAAGCTTAAAAATATTAATTAGAATGAAAATGCGACAATGCGACAAAGTCGAGCGGTCTCACGGACCGGAATTATGTGGCGAATTAAGGACTGCTCGAAAATAAGTGTGGCCAGCTGGAGTTAATGTTAAAACTGTATGTATCTATTTTTTTTTTTTTTTTAATAAATGCTAGGATTTTTAAACATTCCTCTCGATTTTTTGTATCTTTCTCTGGGACGAGCAGGCATGCCAAAAAATAACTAATGTGGCGAAAATAACGCACGATATTGCAATATTGTGAAACACTGCCAGCGTTACGCGGAGCTACAGCCGATATATAGCGATATCGATGATCACCAGAGCACGTACATTGGCAATGGAGTTGATGTGTTTGTTGCCGGTGGTGGCGGTTGACGTGGCCGGCGGCGGAGGCATGGGCGACTGCACGGGCAGCCCTCTGAGCTGCTCGAGAAACGGCAGGAACATCAACGACTGTGGCCCCGACATGCTCAGCTGGCTCTTTGTCATCTGAGCCTGCAACTCCTGGATGTTGTGCTGCATGATGTGCTCTTGCTGCCGCTTCAAGTGCTCCGTTTGCAGCCGCTGCATCTCGATTTGCTTCTGCGAGTCGACCGTCATGTGAGCGGGATACGACTGTAAAGGCACAGGGACCACTAATTAAAAGGCCGCCGTGCACGCCGGCTCTCATACAGAGAATTGTGCGGTCCCTCGCGCGCTATTTGCGCGAGGGTGGACCGTTCCACCTTGACGGCGGCTTATCGGCGCGGCGCGCCGCGTGGATGAAATACGCCGGACGTGTTGCCGGGACAATGCGAGCGTGAAGCAAATTGCGCGACGCGATTGCCACTTTGTGCCGCCAACGACTCGATGCGTAATAAATACTGTTTCGGATTCCCTCGTTATTACGTTTCACCTATACATATATTTTTCACCTATACATTATATTTTTTTTATTTCGACCGAATGGTCGCAAAACATTATTACATGAGCAGTTATTCGAGATTTCTTTTTCGGATGCTTTAGACATTACGAAACAAATTATATATATATGCGAAAATTATTTAGACTTCTTAACAATCTGATACAATCCAGAAACGTTCTAAACGAGTACTTTGTTGCTTGAATATAACGCATAATTACGTGCATTAAACAGTTGCACCATATATGCAGAATATTTTTTTAATTTTTAATGATATTAATTATATATGAGATTGGCTAACGAGATCATTATGTTATATTATTTATTAAACTTATGTAAACGCAACTTTTTCATAATTCTTGTCAAATTAAATGCAAAAAACCGCTTTTGCATTACGTTTAAAGTTTCATTGATATCGCAATGCGAAAATTGCAAATTGTAAAAGGAATCGCGGTGCTTCGTGACGCTTAACGAATCAATTTGAACAGTTATCTCGAGTGGTCAATCTGTTGCTCCTTTCTACTTTATCCGGATAAAAATCTTTTACAAAACATGTCAATTATAAATATCTGTTAAAAATATAATTTTTTTTCGATTTTTTAAATCATGAGATACTTTTATGCTCGCATAAACTAAATATAAAGAGACGGATTTATAAAAACTTTCGCGTTTCAAGTTATCAAAGGTGTTTTAATACGAAATGTACATTATCCATTTACCAGGTCGTAAATGTATACTGATACGTTAGTAATGTATGATATCACGTCAAAAAGATGATTACTTCATAACCGAGTAGTTAAAGACCTAATTGCGTGTCCGACTGGTAACATCACGCGATTACGCGGATCGCAGCCAAGTGCATCGCCAGCGAATTTTTGCGATTAACGTTGTATTAATAGCACACATCGGAGCACGCCGGTAACGGGGCTCTTAGATGAGCGAGAGTATCCGTTCCACCCTCCGTAGGAACGCAACAATTTACGCGACGAATATCATTGTACTTTCCTACGGCCTGGCTACGATCCAGATATGCGTGGGGTTTATTTTAGACGATAAGGAAGACGTTTATTCATCCAGCCTGTGCACCAGCTGAGATGTCACGCGCGCGCGACTCTGGATGCACCTCCCCCTCTCCCCCGCGTCGCCCTTCCCCGATTCCGTTCTGAGCCGCGCGATTATTAATTTCACATTTTCGCGACGCTCCCGATGGCGGTTCTCTCCGGGGACCTTATCGCCGAGACGTATAATTGACGTAGGAAAACATTGATTTATATTATAAATAGTTACGGCGGGAAAGTAAAAACTGCAGGGCGACACAAAAATCCGCACAAAAACATGTAGCGTTGCGCAAACGACGATAAGACGTGACCTTCCGTGTCGATTGGACATTGCCGGCTTCTGCAGATTATTTAAAATGATAGATGTAAAAAGCGTAGATGTATGAGCAGCATATTCTAACATATTAACGCGCGAAATGATTACAATGTGCGGAACGCAAGAAATCGATATGTCGGTTTTACTAGCCAAATTGCCATCGACAGTATCGACACAAATAATATATCTATATTCTTCAGCCATTAAAAATTATATACAAGTATTTAATTCTAACAAGAGAAAATACAATATTAATTTTTTCCCCTATATACCTATATTTTAACTATAAAATAGCGATTTAAAACAGAAACAAGATTAAAACACTACGTAACTTTTAACAAAAATTAACTATTACATATATCTATATTTCCTTGTATTTTTTATTAATCGATAGAAATAGAGAGAAGTATTTTTCGATAGCACATAGGGTTTGGTGTATAACGAAGAATATATAAATTGCTTTAAGCCGCACACGGGATTAACAAGGCAGTCATTACGGGATTAAGAGTATCGTATGACTGTATTCTTCATTCTCTGTACTCGTTGACGTTACGATCTTTTACGATGCGTCGTCGGTACGGCCGAGCCGCTCAAAGGCTGCCGAACTGTGCGTTTATATCCCTGCGAGCGTCCCAATGAGCGCATGTGCGTTCATTGAGACCACATGTGTCGCGTTCGCTTCGGTGGCGCGAGGGATCGGCCACCGGGAGACAATGAGTCGCGCGACCGGGTAACGCCAATTCGGGTAACGTCTTCGGTTCGCGGCACCTATAATAGGCGACAAAGACGGAAGAGAGAGAGAGAGAGAGAGAGAGAGAGAGAGAGAGAGGGGGAGAGAGAGAAAGGGACGACTGGAACTTCATTATTCATTTGCACAGTTCAGTTATGCCGATGATACGTATCCGTGACAGCTATACCGCCCACAGTGGCTAAATATAAACAGGCGGGGTGCCAGCTAGTTCCATTCACATTCACATCCACACACGACGCGGCGGTTTAGTAAGTGAGCATAAGAATATGAGGAGCCCCGTTCTGAATATGCATCCGCGCATTGACGCCAACTGCACCGCCTAAACTTAGCCACGCAATTACCGAAACATATTTACCCCCGTAATCGCTCTTCGGCCGATTATCTATCGTGGATCGCGCGGATACTGAATCCCCGAGTAACGCACAGAGGAAGACATCTAGATCGTATAAAATCGTGAATAAACAATTTGATCATCAATTTATTAAATAATCCGAATCTATAATTTAAATCGGTATAAACTACAATAATTTAAATATAATTTTGTTCTTATGTCGATGCAACACAATTCCACGTAAAGCGAGTTTGTGACATTTAAATGTCGATTCTTGTGCATAACTAATCAACGTGCCTTTACGTTCATGATATTATTTAACTCTTTAAGGACGGGGGTGATGATAAATAAGCCACAGTAGCGTATTAATTCCAACTCCGATTAAATTTTGTTCGCATAAATAGTTTATTTTTTCTCTTCTTTTTGCTTCGATAAGGCTTGTTTAAAATACCTGTCTCTAAAGGGTTAATGCGGTAAATATTCATCAACAATGCGCGTTTTGCGCAGCATCATGTCGACGTTCGACGGAGCGATTTTCGTAGGCGCGATACGCGCGCGGGGCTAAAGGCCGCGGAAATTTGCTTGTCCAGATTTAGAATCGGAGCCACTGGAGTGTGCGAGTGCGAGGGGACATGCCGGTTGACGCGGATCCACCGGAAGTGGTTCATACTTCACGTGCGTTATAAAGACTGTCACTGCGGGCACTGTCTAAAATTATGTCGCGCTGCGCGCTGCAAGGAGCGCGCGACTCCGCGACGTGAACTGCCCGCGCTGCACGTAGATCGAATTAAGGTCTCTCTTCCATCTCCGGATATCGACGATCCGGCGATTTTATCGCGTGCATCTTCGCGTCCGAGGTGTACAAGCGTTATGAATAATCGATTGCGGGGAGAAGCCAGTCCTGCCGGTCCTTCTCGCGGCTGATATACGCGCCGGGCGGGGAGGAAGGACAACGAGAAGCCGGGGAACAAAAAAGTGCCGCTGCACTCCTTAATGGAATTTTAAAAGAGAGACACGCGGAATCTCCAACGACAAACAGGGAGACGGCCGGTGGATACATAAATTATGGAGCGCTTTGAACGGGATTCGCGCTCGCCCCGTACGAAACTACCGTCGTAGCGACAGGAGAAAAAGAGGGACAGAGAGAGATGAGAGAGAGAGAGAGGAGGGGGGAGAGAAGAGGAGAGAGACCAGTGAATTGCGAGAATCTAGGGCAACCGGAAGCGGTATTTTCGTGGCGCCGCTTTTCGAGGAGATGATCGCGGGTACATCGTCGCAAAGCGGTCGTCTCTTCGAGAGTCGTCCGTCCTCTCCTTCATTGCGAACCATGCCAACGCGGTGGCAATCATGATGATACATAACGTTAGAGATCGATGGCACTGATCGTGTAGATAAAACCGAAGAAAGATCGTTATTGGATTCAACATATACGAGGTGTCCCGCAAGTCTCCGGTTTAATTTTAGCGATAGATTTCCCGGTTTATTTGAAGTGCATATTCTTTCCTGAAATACTCATCCACAGTTCGCGACAATAGCTACGCGAATTATTTTAAAATTATGTATCGTTAAATTACAATACATGTATATCTTATAAAGAGAAAGTTGCTACCATCATTTCTTGAAATATCAATACTTCTTCGTAGGACACTCTGTATGATAATCCACGCGGATAATCCATCGTCTTTCCTTATATGCAATATACTAATCTCATAAACCTTGTTGATGATATTTCTATCCTTGTAGTTGAATCCCATTATGCGACGTGTATCGCGATAAATTTTCCCTCTGTGGATATTTGTAATGTAAATAAACAAGGACAATCTACACATGAACTATCATTATACACGTAATCAAAGGTAGACGAGTATTAAAAAGCAGCCAGTGCTATTTATTATCTAACTAACTAGACTTTGTCTCAAATGATAAATTACACTACATTCCGTACTTACAATTAGTTTACATATAAAATATTTTAAATATAAAATTCTGCAACTATGTTATATATATAGTCTTACTCGGAATAACTCTGCCTTGAGTTACCGTTATTAATTTGCAAAAGCTTAAATTCAATTATTCATTATCGGGAAAAATCGCAATTCTAATTTTTGCGTGGTACGTCTTTCTAGCATTTTCCTTACTATCCGCACTGTAGCAGTCAAACGTTCAAAATGAGGAAAACAAATCAATGTATCTGTATATGCCGCGGCGGTTGTGCGATTTATGTGATTCTCCTATTCGCGACTGCAGAAGACGA